GCCAAGAAGGCAAATGGCATCCTGGGTTGCATCAGGAAAAGTGTGGCCAGCAGGTCGAGGGAGGTCATCCTCCCCCTCTACTCTGCCCTGGTGAGGCCACATCTGGAATACTGCATCCGGTTCTGGGCTCCCCAGTTCAAGAAAGACAGGGATCTGCTGGAGAGGGTCCAGCAAAGGGCTACAAAGAGGATTAGGGGATTATAACATCTCTCACATGAGGAAAGGCTGAGGGACTTGGGTCTCTTTAGTCTAGAGAAAAGAAGATTGAGGGGGGATCTTATTAATACTTACAAATACTTAAAGGAAGGATGCCAGGTGGATGGGAGCAGCCTTTTTTCTGTGGTGCCCAGTGATAGGACTAGGGGTTATGGGCACAAGCTTGAACATAGGAAGTTCCATCTTAACATGAGGAGGAACTTCTTTACCTTGAGGGTAGTGGAGCACTGGAACAGGCTGCCCAGAGAGGTTGTGGAGTCTCCCACTCTGGAGACGTTCAAAACCCGCCTGGACACTGTCCTGTGCAACCTGCTGTAGGTGACCCTGCTCTGGCGGGGGGGTTGGACTAGATGATCTCCAGAGGTCCCTTCCAACCCTGACCATTCCGTGATTCTGTGAGAGCACTTCTAGGTAATACATGCAATATAGTCAAATCGTGGTGGTGAATTCAAGAGATGACACACAAACCCCGCACCTTGCTGCAACACTGCTCCTTCAGTCTCTGGAGGTGGCTTTATGTTTTTTCCTCAAAAAACTCTGCAGATTTTTTTTTTGCATTTGAATGAGAGAAGCAGAGAGGGAGAAAGCAAAAGAAGTGTGACACTGATATTGAGACCTGTAGGTGAGGAGAGATGGGAATACAGAAGTAGCGGGAAGGCGACAGTAAAAGGAAGCTTATGGAAAGTGCTGGCAACAGCTGCCATGCTAAGCTCCGTTTGCTCAGTCGTGGTCTTTGTGATGCTTCTTGCTGTATTTGGGTACCTTGCTGCTGCAGGAGCTGAGCATGTACTCCATGTAGGAGTATACCTGAGTATACCTTTATAGGTAGGGGACAGCTAAAGAAGGGAGTAAAGGGAACAAGTACCTATATTTTTAATAGAGAAAACACCCACTCCAACTAATGAACTCATGTGGGGGTTCTTCTATAGCTTTTGGGCAGGGCTTTCAAAATGCTTTCAGAAGATTTATTTCCATACAGCAACTCTCAAAGCTGTAGCGTTTCTCTCCCTCCACTGGGAACAACTTGTATGCCAAATTTAATGCAAACACAAGAGTTTCTCAGTCAGTCAAGCGCTCAACATGCCATGAAACTCAATGGGAATGAGGAAAGTGAATCCGCTTTGAAATGTACAACGTTTTTGTTGCCTTCCTCACCCCAACAGGTATCTCTGCTAGTCCTCTGGTCTTGAGAAAGATTTCAGGATGAATGGTGAAGGTTTCGGAAAGCCCTAAATGCAGAAAGAGAAGTTCAGGATAGAGACAGAGAGCACCAGGTTACAAAACATTCACTCCCAAGAGAAGTATAATTTCTCTCACACACTCTAAACTGTGTAGCTCCTGAAAAAAGTGGTTACCTTTTCTTCTAGTTGGTCCCCTGATTGTCTTAGCAGTGAAACTATTGTTTGTATTATCTTTTCTTCATCTGTTAAAGAAGAGTAACATAAATATCTCAGCCTTTCAGTAGTATCCAGGTAGCAAACTATGGCAAAAGCCTTTGTGTCACTTAATCGTGAAAACAGCTGCTGTTTTGTGGCAAATTCACAAGAAGTTGTGCATCCAGGCTTTAAGCAGAAGCTCACTGTTCTAGTCTGTGTTGAGTAAGCAATGCTATTTCTCCATCTGCCCAATGTTTTGCTCCAGTTAATAATCTGGGAAAGAGCAGGGACTTCAATACCCCACTTCCAGCCCTTTGGGCTTTTGAGATATTTCTGATAACAAGCCAGAACAAAAGAGCAGCTAGCGGAAGCCCAGGAAAACGGACTTAAAATTAGGAAAAAAAATCCCCTTATCACTACCATTTATACTGTCTGCAACTCATTAGGAGAAACTCTGGGTTTGACGGATTAAAGAAAACGCAAGTATGGCAGGATCCCTGTTGTAACCAGAAATTCCTAGAAAGTTGCATCAAAACTAAATCTCTGCAGACGTCATGGAAGACAAGCAGTTCAGACTTACAACAGAGATTGCTGAGCAGTGTTGTCCCATTGCTGAAGAGGGATTGACCAGGACATTATTGCCCCAAGGAGTGGTCTTTGTCCTTAGAGCCCCAATGTATTACTCTGCCCTCAGCCCTGCCACTCTTACTACTGCTCTGCCACCTTACATCCCTTTACCTTTATCCTACCTTTCTTATGTCACATCTCCTTGGATTTTTAAGTATGCTTCCTTTAATTGCAGTAGCAGGCAGGACTTGTTAGAGGATTTCAAGAACAGTCCCTGAAACGTGGGCAACAGAGCAAACTTTGTTCTTTGCAGCATCTTACTGCAGAAGTCCCGAGTGCTTCACCATGTTTAGGCAAAATGATTCAGTGTGCAATCCCAACCTGACATACTACCTTTGAGCATGAAATTTTTCACCTTACCACGTTCATCACCCTCAGTTTCATCAGTAGGCCCAGTATCGTCTTCTTCCTGACATGGGCTCTGAAACATTATCTTGAATGACACATCTGAAGGAGATTCCTGGGATCTGGAAGTAACAAGCTTGGCAAGCTTGTCTGCAATGTGGTTGACATCTGCTGTTTCACCTGATTGGGAAGGAGGGTGGGAAATAAAGAAAGCAATTAATCTTTCCAGGAAATAATTCGGTGAGGTGGAAGCGCCCATAGGATACCAAGATATACATTTCCCCATGCTGGGGCTTTGCTGTTCTTTGAGATCAGCTGGTAACAATTTAGAGAGAGAAGTAAAGCAGTGCAGCCCCTCTCTAGTATTTGAGCAGCAGCTAACTATACAGAGCCCATACAGAAGTAAGTGTGTTGCTCACTAGTGCACATCCTTGCAAGCCAGAAGCACACCGTGTATTAAGAAACGTGAGAGTACTGCTCTGTATCGCATATATATATCACATGATAAAACTCCTTGAACGGGCCTTCAAAGAACCTCTCTTCCTTGATTTTAATGTGTAGGTCTTCAGTCTGGCCAATGTTTTATGTTTTCTTTCCAACCAGGCATGAAAAAGAAAAAGCCAATGCTCAGAAAAAAACAATTTGTACAGTTATACAATATTTACCACCATACAATGGAAAACAGAAAAGCCAGTCACAAGCATGAATCTTGTGTGTGCAAGCACTACTGAAGATCTGGCAATCTGCATTCCCGATTGGAAATCAATAGAGCTAGCATAAGAAATGACCAAAAAAGCAAAAGACACCTTCCTCCTCCTGTCTTTCCACAGGCCACCAGCCATTTAAGCTATTTAGAGAGAGATTTAAAGACAAACAGCAAAAGGAAAGAACTAAGACATACTTGTCTGATGCTGAGGATTCCCTTGTAGAACAATCTCAGATTGTGCCTCACAAACCTTGGTGCAATGACCTTGGTGCAATGACGGCGCTGGGGACTTTTCCTGTTCTGCTCTTCTGCAGGGAAAAGGTAGACAATATCCTGGCAAGTATTTTCTTTTTGATTGCTTTTTTCTGTGCTGTTCAGTCATGCCACCCTGATAAACTATTCTTCGGCTTGGTCCATCTTTATCCCTTTGATGGTCAATCTCCACTTTTCTCCTGATTAACGATGATGAATTCTGCACATTAGCCTCATTTTTCAGAAGTTTCCTATATTTACTGACAGACAAACGACGCTGGGCATAGGCCATTAGGATCTTGTATTCTATGCTGTCTTGCTCATCATCTTCCAGCAGTATTTCTTCCATACTGACATCATTTGGCGAAGACATCTTGGTCCCTGCAAGAACATATTCTTAGTTTTAATGGCTTAGGGAACAGCCTGTTTTTCATGAATACCAACCAGTACTTGAAATTTCTACAGAACCTTTCACCAAACACTTTATAAACCTCAGTGAGGTGAAGAATATTGCAGTACCCAGGAGCCAGAGAAGCACTGTTTTCTGGAAAGAGAATTAGAGAATTTGGTTACCAAGAAATACCTCAGGCAGTGTTCAAGGCCATTGAAGAATGGGAACAAGAGATCTGCTACGTTGCTCTTAACTGCATTTGGTGGCTTAGACAGGAAAGATGAGGAAATTCAAGGAGTATTCAATGGTCGGGGTACAGTGCAGGAAAAGAGGAAAGCCCATAACAATATTAACTGATTCTCGGGATGGAAAGAAAAACAATTCATCAAAGCACTGCAAAGGAAAACCCTATACTGTGGCTCAAATGAGCAAGCATCTAAATATAAGAGAATTGCGTTTTTGGTGTAAGCTTTGACAAATTCAGGCCCTGAGTGCTCTAGGTAGGAAAGCAAACAAGAACTAGCCTAAACATTAGGAAAAAATATGATATTTACATATCATAATGTTCTCAACTGTCCTTTCACCGCATGCAATGGATGGTGCGGTGGCACTTATCTAGTGTAATTTGTTCTTGTCCAAATAAACATACCAATCCCATGGCACACACATGCATTTTGCCATCTTTCTGTTTCCCTATGCATTGTGGCTTACCAAGCCACAGTGCGAAACACTCTTACATTTTTGTTTTGCATTAGATCCATTTGCCTCCTGGCCTCCCTGAAGCCAGAGAAACAAGAAGAAATGGGAGGCATCAGCTGTGATGCAGAGACTGAAAAAGGTCTTTTCTGCAGAGCCCAGGTGAGCTTTTAGATGTCTGCACAGGCAGCCTGGACCACTCACCACCAGCAGGCTCTCTGCAACCAACGTCTTTGTTCAATGACCCACACAAAGCTGAACAAAACTATGTACGTATCCAAAACCTGCTGCTGGCATGTCTGTTGCTGACAAGCCAGAATAGGAGGCTTCTGTCCCCATTGCCCTCTCTAAAACAAGTACCAAATTCACACACACTATGCCCTCAGACTGAGAGAAACAAATTTAAGCTAATTTTTTCCTGTCCAGAATATCATTCAGCTATTTGTCGCTTTGAATGTAGTGCTATTGCTGATATGTATCCAACAGGATGTTTAAATCCTAAGCATGAAGGCTCATGTTTGTGAGTTAAAAACACACCACACACCCCCTGAGTCCAAAGGAAAGTCAGTGGGAAGCGGGTGCCTTGCTCCCCCATGTATTTTTAACTTCTGCCATTGGGATAAGAGCAAGCCATCCCTCCTAATTCACAATAACAGAAGAGCTGTTCTGTAGGAGGCAGCTTTCTAGCACAACCTTATTCGGCAGGGGTCCCCAGGCACAGCAATGGTGTATGAAGGGACCTGTGCATCCTGTTTCTTCACAGGTGCTGGGAGACAAGGCTCAGAGGCAGGGACATTGCCAGACTGCACTGTAATTGCAGATCATCTGTCTTTACTGTGCAGAGGTCTGAAAGTATTAGCTGCTTCCTTCAAACTCCAGAAAACTACAAGTTGTTGCATCGTGATCTGTTACTCATCATAGAATCATAGAATCATAGAAGGGTTTAGGTTGGAAAGGATCTTGAAGATCATCGAGTTCCAACCCTCCTGCCATGGGCAGGGACACCTCCCACTAGACCAGGTTGCCCAAGGCCACGTCCAGCCTGGCCTTGAACACCTCCAGGGATGGGGCCTCAACAACCTCTCTGGGCAACCTGTTCCAGTGCCTCACCACCCTCAAAGTAAAAAATTTCTTCCTAATGTTTAATCTAAACCTGCCCTCTTCCAGTTTAAAGCCATTCCCCCTCATCCTATCACTACACGCCCTAGTAAAAAATCCTTCCCCAGCTCTCCTGTAGGCCCCCTTTAGGTACTGGAAGGCGGCAATAAGATCTCCCCAGAGCCTTCATTTTGGTTGTTTCACATTTGTAACCTTTTAAGTTAAAAAAAAAAAAAAGTTTTGTGGCACTCTGTACTATTTTGCCATTAGCTGCAGAAAGCAACCAAGATAACAAAACTTAGATAAGCCACTTACTTCCACCATGCTAAGCTAAATTGGTTTTTGGTGGTGGTGTTGAGACAACAGAAGGAAAAAAGGGAACATACAAACCCCCAAAACCCTCCTTACCAAATATATGAGCATCAGGAATTAAACCAACTCCAAATGCGTGGCTTACCTGTACTCTTTGTTCAGCATTGTCCTTACTGGGGAAAGGAAAAGGAATGAGGAAAGGAAAGGGGAAGGGGAAGAGGAAGGAGAGGAGGAAGGGAAAGAAGAAAGGGAAAGGGTTGAGGAGGAAGAAACCTGCAAGTGTTGCAAAGTAGGTCCAACGCAACAGTTGCTCTAACCTTGCACTGCTCAATGCATCTGTGCAGCTCACAGTCTGCATCCCGTTTTAGATGCAGATTTAAATTTTTAGATGCAATTTAGATTTTTCCCTCAAGAGAAAGAACTGTTCCAGATGCTGCTCTGGAATAGCACTGGCTTCCACTTTCACTTCAGGACAGTCACTAAAGAAATGAGAATGGGAATAGTGCGATAGTGAGAAGGGGGGATAATTGGGGGAAAAAACCATTGTATCCATTGGTAGAAAAAGAAAAGATGACTTGTTTATCTCTCAGGGAGCTGCTATGTTAAGTCACGCCATGAGTGAGCCAAAATGCAATTTCCCAGTCATGCTCAAGTTAAGCTATTGACACACCACCATCCCAAGCCTCCAACAGCCTGTCTCAGACACATGGCAACAGCTTCTCTGAAATTTTCTTTGCCGTGCAAGCCTGGGTGTCTGCTTGCTCACTTTTCTGCTACCAGCGTGTTGCAATTTAATGTGCAGAAATCTATACTTAACTTCATGTGGCAAAACATCCCACTATGCTTGGATGAGAATTTATCCCAATAGCCTCCAAGGTACAAGCAACTACGTTGCCTTTGAACAGCCTCCTGGGCTTCAGCAGAAGCCCTGTCCTGCGAAGGGCCCAATACTGTGCTGAGACCTCATGCTCACAAGGTCATGCCAAGGTGAGTCCCTGTTTGCTGGACATGGCCAGGGCAGAGGGTGCAAGTTCCCCTCATCGTGCTCATTTCTGCCTTGATATATTCAAGAGGTCAGCAGGAGCCTGTAACTTCTCATCCCATTCACGCAGGCAGCTTTAATAAACCTGCGAGGGAAACTGAAAGCCGGGCAGGAAAACTTCTGCAAGCGGCTGTTACAAGAAACGAACCGAGTGGCGAAACAGAAGCGGGAGCTAGAAATACAGAGAAAACAAAGGAGAACTGAAACAATGCAAGACAGGCACAGGGCTGCTGCTTCTGTGTTGCTGTGCCTGGGAAGGGAGCGCTGGTGTGCATGCTCCCTCGGGATGCAGGGGAGCAAAGTAAGACCTTTTCTGTGCCCCCTGATTGTTTGAGACCATATTCCAGTGCAAACCAGAGCAGTTTAAAGAGTGTTTTAAACTGCACTGCGTTTCTCAGCGTCTCTGCTACACAGATAGCAAAGCTACAGCATATCCCTTCAGCTATTCAATGAGCCCAGAACAGGCACTTTCCTTTGCCCCGGAAGACCAAGCATTTATTTCATTTTGAAGTTTGTTCAGAAATAGAGAGAAAATTTTAAAGACTATGCCATTCTTTTTCATTATTTAATACTTAATTCAAACTCAAGTTCCTCCTTGAAAAGATCTAATCTTGCCCTTCAGATCAGACACTGACACTGCTTAAAAAAGCATAGCCTTCCCCACCGTGGGTACTCTTTACAGATCTAAAATAATTTGTGTAACATTCACATATACTAATTTATCCGTAATAAAAAAATATAAATATCAATATAAAAATAGATAAACTATATATAAATAACTATACATAAAAGTTATAAAGTAATTATATAAAATAATATAAACATTCATTTCTAAATAGCAAGAGGAATTACCAGTAGTAGCATTACAAAACCCTTGCAGCCCTTTACACTGGGGTATTATTTATACATTGAGAACAGTCCTACCCAACGTGGCTGTACAGATAAAAATCAAATAAGAGTTCAAAGGTTGGTCTCCTAAACGAGGCTAAGTGCAGACTGATAGCAGGAGGTAGGGTGTTATTACAGCTTGCTAGTACGTAACATCAAATAAGCACTTGTACATCAGGTGCAGCTGTGCAGCTAAGCCTGCACCTCACTCTGATGGGGAACGTCTGAGAAATGAAACAAATTATGTGGGTAAAAATGTGCTATAGGAGCTTCTTTACTGGGATTATTTTGAGCACTGACATCTCAGTAAGAAATCTCCACCATGTGTATACAACAAGGCTGGAGGAGCATAAAAAACGAACAAGGAGTCACAATTTATAGCACATGTATGCTATTAGTGGCAGACAGCAAGAAAAGGAGATATCACCACATGCTGGTGAGCATTTATAAAGGAGAATGCAAGTAGCTAACTTGGTTTTCTGTTCATTTTAAAGTTTGAAATCTTAATTGGTGACTTAGGTCTCTCTTTAGACTTACTTCTTCATACTATAACCACGTTATTTTTCCAGTATCCCATCTGGTGTGGGCCAGAGACGAGCCAGGCCTTTTGCAGAAGCAGCACTCACTTTGCATGAACTCTCTCAGAAATTAGTTTCTATAAAGAACGTTTTTTAATGCAAGCATTGATTCAGCTTGACAAGTACTTGGAAGTCCTGCTAAAACCCGAATCTGCATATTATTTCCTAGGATGATTAAAAGAAACTCAGAGGATCAGATTATGGAGAGTAGCAGCACGGTCTCATTCTGTCTACTCAAAAACTCTGGTCTAAATTATTTATCTTCTGGTGCTTGCACGCTCTGAGGGATCAGTGTTACCCCTTCCCTCTTTACTATCCTCCAGACCTTTTCCTCCCATTGTCAAATGTCACATCCACACGCCGTTTCC